GGCCGTATTTCCCGCGCCCCTTCTTCGAGTTTCCATGACGATCGTAACGGTCGTCCTTCCATTTGTTCCCTGCCGAAGAATCGTCGGTTCGGCCCGGATAACTCTTGGTCGTTGACTCCTCCTTCCGAGCCGAAGGCCTGGGTTTGGCGTTGAAATCTTCGGCCTTCGCATGAACTGCCGCAGTACTTCGTCACACGTGCGCCAGTTGCTACTGTGCACGAGGTACCGGAAGTGAGAGGACCGTAGGCCACTCTTGAAGGCGCCGTAGGCTGCCCTATCGTCCGTTTCGGGACACCTCGAGTACTCGTGACTGAAGCATGCCGCGTACTCCCGTAGGGGTTCGTCTTCCCTTTGCCGAATCGTGTATAGATCATCGGCAGAGTACAAGCGGTCCGTTTGGATCATAAAGTGGTTGAGAAAAATCTGCTTCAGTTCGTCAAAGGAGTCTACCGTCCCCGGCTCGAGACGGTAGAACCAGTTCAGAGCGGCCTCGGTAAGGGATGACGGAAACAGCAGGCATTGCCCCTCGTCGCTGAGGCCCTTGCATCCAACTGCCGATTGGAAGGAGTGAAGGTTCGTCAAGGGGTCCTCCACGCCGGTATAAAACGATATACGCAACGGCTGCACCTCCCTGTCCTGTCTGGACTTCTTGATGCGCTCGGTGAAGGGTCCTAGCCGAAGCTTTCCCAGTCAAGGACTTGGGATCGGGTTTGGTCGTATTCCATCTTCTGGATTCTCTGGAAAAGCAGATGGATAGTGGGGTCTCGGCTCGGGACCTCCTCGGAACTGAAGTCTTTGGAAGTTCTCCTCGGACTTGGTGGTTTTGCCTTCGAATACTCCAGGGGAGTTTCCGAACGGTAGTTGGATTCGGTGCCCTTGGTGGGGACGTACTCATCGTCGGATTCCATTCCCGAATCCAAACCATGGACCTTCCTAAGGGGAGATTTATCTCCTAGGACCTTCATCCGTGAGTCCCGCAGGCTGGCATTAATCCGGATTGGGGACCTATGCCGTTCGACATCCTTTTTGTCATTGATCCGATGATGACAATATGTGTACACCTTCTTCGGCACGTGAGGCTGGTCCTGTGGAGCTGGGACCACCAGCTGTTTGGAAGGCGCAGGCGTTGCCTTTGCCCCCCTCTTTCCCCTCCTCCCCCCCCCCGCGGCCCGGCCGAGACTTGGTAGCCCTGAATGCTCTGTGTTTCCTGCTGGTTTAGCAGTCGCTGTGTTTCGTCTACTTTGGACGAGAGGAGATTGTTATGTTCTTGGAGCTTAGCCATTTCCCTCCGAAGGGAGGTCATTTGAGCCAGAAGCTCCGCTTCAACCGTGGTTTGAAGCACTGGGGGATTACCGAAGGGGGTGCTAAGGTGCAGCGCAGGGCTTGCTCCACTTGGCATACCGTACGGTAATCCATCCTCTGGTAGGAACTGTGGTCCTGAAGTGGTTCCCATTATGTTTTTTAGGAATTGTAGGTTGATTATTATCATTTCCCACAGACGGCGCCAAACTGTTGACGCAGAAAAATGGTTCTGCACTTCCCCGCGTAACTGAGTGATTTTGTTACCTTCGGTATGCTATGGCCTCGGTAGTATGTTATACCTGTAAGATAGCAAACGCTCGGTAAGTCCTAGGTACTGGTGTGGTACCGGCCGAAGGCTCTCCAATGCTTAAATAAGTACCGATTTAGTAAGTTTGAACTACAGATCAATAGGCAGTATGCCGTTAGTTCTGATTGATTACCTCCAAGCTGGGATAGTTGTCCTCTTTTATAGGCTTTGGGAGGTGTGCATTTTGTTTAGAGTTTCGATGTGGGACTGTGGACATTGATTGTGAGACTGCCACGTGTCCCAGGTGGTAAGGTTGCCCTAATAGAGCGATCGGTAGATAAGATGCCGAAGCTAGATGCCGAAGGCTCCCATAGCTCCAGCTTGGTCCACGTGTGAAATGTTCATTGGCTGCTCATTTTGGTATAAACAAAGACTTCCAATCCAAAATGAGTTTGAAATAAAGAATTAAAGAATGAACATAATTTTTGGAGATGTGCAGCCTGAAGGCTACACAAACACAGAGCTTCTACGAGAACTTGCTTGAGACAACTTCAGTATTACTCTTGATACTTCAATTTTTCTACTACAACTCACCCTTGATATAAAGTAAATATAATGTCTCGCCATAACATTAACTCAACATTAAACTTAATCACAATCAGCATGTCCACTAACCTTGCATTAACTCTAATTCATAAACTAAGTAATAATAGCTAAACCCTTTAGATTCTAACTCTTTATTTCCTTAACTTCTAAGATTTCAGAGGGACAGATCCTTGATCCACTACTAGCAACATCAATATTGTCTCCAACTTAACCACCTATTTAGCGAGTGTGGGGTTTTATACAAAAGGCCTCGGTGTTATTAGGAGTGGAACAATTTATTATATGAGATTTTCTATTTTGTTAAGTTTCCAATATAGGACTCTTGTATTCTTCAACATATATCTCATTGTCATCACGATGCTTCAATTCTCAATCTTTGATTGCCTTCACGCCTCTCAATCCTTTGACCCAACGAGGGCTGCATTGCTCAACTGATCAACTTTTTCTCATCTTTTATCATTCAACGAGGGCTGCATTGCATATATCTTTCATGTTTCTTCAATTTGGGTGCACATCTGTCCCCATTTTCAATTTTAGGAACCCTTGTCCCAATTCTTCGTGTGCCTTTTTTTTCTTCGGTCGGCATCATTGTCCTTATTTATTCGGCATCTATGTGCGTTCCTCTCTCGGCATCTTTGTTCGTTCCTCTCTCAAGGGTTCATTTACCCATAGCCAAAAATAAAATAAAATGTTCTTGCATACTTTCATTAAAGATCACGTCTCACGAATTCGAAAACTTCTATTCCTCTTAC